ACCACCAGCCTTCTGGTTAGCAGTCAAGTGCTTTAGGCACTATGCTACCAGAGGTCCTGATATATGCAATAGCATAGATAAATCTCCAATATATTATGCTAATTTAAAAAGTCAAATTCAGAAGGCTACTTCCTTCCTAATCTTTATGGAATTAGAAAAGATAAACGTACAAGGAAATAAATCAGTTTAGTACTTGCCAAGGGCAGTGTGCAGAAAAGGCAGTGATTACAAAGGGTCACAGGAGCACTTTCTGAGGTAATGGAAATAACCTGTAATGTGATTATAGTGATAATTGCATAGGGCTTCAATTTGTCAAAATTCTAGAAATATACACTTAATAGTTGAGTTTTGTCATAATTAATACCTTTCTAAATCTCAAAAGTAAGGGAAACTATAGGATTAAAAATATATATATATTGCATTATACAAAACTGCTGAAAAAGACCTCTTTAAAGTGTTAAGAAGCAAAGATATTTGAAGGCTAAGGTGTGCCTGACCCACACCATGGTATTTTCAATCACCTCATATGCAGAAAGCTGGCAATGAATATGGAAGACCAAAGAAGAGATGATGTATTTGAATTGTGGTGCTAGCGAAGAATACTGAAAATACCATGGACTGCCAGAACAATGAATAAATCTGTCCAGGAGGAAGTGCAGTTGGAAAGGTCCTTGGAAGCAAGAATGGCCAGACATTGTCTCACCTACTTTGGTCATGTTTTCTGAAGGGATCATTCTCTGGAGAAGGATATCATGATTGGTAATGTACAGAGTCAGCAAAAAGGGGAAGACCCTCAATAAGATGAATTAATACAGTGGCTACAATGATGAGCTCAAACATAGCAAAGATTGTGAGGATGGTGCAGAACTAGGCAGTGTTTTGCTCTGTTGTTCATACTGTTGCTATGGGTTGAAGCTGCCTAAATGGTACCCAATAGCAACAGTATAGCTTAATAGAGAAATGTCAAGACATTGTGATGCATAGAACTTACTTATTCTTATATCTTGTTAAAATAAATTAAGACAATGAAGGATAGTAAACACTGCATATTTTATATTAAGAAA